TTTGCATTTGATCAATCGTTCCATGGAAGTTTATTTTGCTTCTATTGGAGTTTTAATGACAAGTTACACTTTTTTTAAAAAAAATGTTTGACGAAAAAGATAAAACTTAAACTACATACATATATATAATACATGATTTTGAATAAAAAAAATATAAAACTCATCGACATAAAATCACAATTAGGCAAGATATTTTGAGCACCTTCCATCATACACATATAATGTCCACGAGCTGCGCATGCTTAAGGAAAGTGAAAAGGACAAGCTGGCTGCAAGATATTTTCTTCAAAGAAATTACAAAATTATACATTTTCCAACAATAATAGTAACTTACAAAGCCAAACAGCGTATAATTTTTTTTTAAAAAAATTATACAATATTAATTAACTCTTTTATGTTGCATCAAAAGGGTTTCGGTCTCTAATAAGCGGTATCAAGTTCAAAATGATTTGATAATACTCGGAGTGATAGCTAAAAGAGTTTCAATCTCTAGCCACCAAGAGAATAAATTGTTAAATTAATATGACGTTCGCAAGACTGGTTCTAAAAGGCTAAAAGCATCATATGGCTAATGAATGAAGGAGCGAAGAAGATGACTTTTTAGAAAAGATATTACGTAGAAAAAAAAGCTCGTTTTCTTTGATGCTAAGCTTTCTCCTGTTAGGCCCACAAGCAAAGGTTGGGTCCAATTATAATTCAAACGTTGGTTTCATTTTTATTTTCAAAACCCGCCAACGAACCGTGCGTGTTTGATTATGTGCCAAAGCCTAGCTAGTATCTTTGATATAAGTTTTAATTTCCCCCATTCGAATATTCAGAACATACGCCTCATATACTCTATTAATTTAGCACATTTATCGTATGACTTATGAAAACCACATATGTAAATCATACTTAGAATAATCACTTCACACGAACACACTACACATTCATCTAGTCTTCAAGAGTTAAGCTAGTAACGGTTATTACAAAATCACTACAAATGAATCAATTAGTAGCGGTTATTTTGAATTGCTGCAAAATGTTTTTTTTAGTGATAAGAGTTATATAAAATAATAGAATGGAATAATATTACTTATAATTTCATGTCATGCTGATTATATGAGTAATTTTGAAATGCATTCTTTGATAGAGTAGAACTATAAGGAAAATGAAGAAATTGAAGTTTAGATTGAGCAAATTATCCGAGTATAACTTTTTTATAAGCAAATAAGGGGCAAATATGACTTCTCGAATGTTATTCCTTAATGTATGGTGTCATTGACCTAACTGTGGAATGGGCAGCATGTGGTTCATAGTAATGGTAGCTGGAAAAAAAATTTCTTGCATACCAAACACATAGCTTTATTCCGACATATTTGTAATTAAGCTTTTTGTTTTTTTGGTTCCGTATGAGTATCATCTTATTCGAGGTATTGTCGGGCACTAAATGTAGGTAACTCAATTCGAACATTTATTTATCATATTATGAGGAACTAGCCATTTGTACTAAACCTAATCCTCACTGGTTATTTGTAAGCTTTTTTTCAACTGATACTAAATACTCGTAACTTTGGAAATCTAGCTATATTTGTATTTGAATCATAATTAATATATTGTCAAGTATATAAAATTTGGAGGTAGTTAATTATGTTGATTACAGAGCGAACCTTAATTAGGGCAAGCTCAAAGTGTGTGATCGATCACTGACAATAATAGACGGCATGGTCTCCTGTTTAATTTATAATTGGATAATTTATTTTGTTGGGGGCTAAGTAGTTTGTTTAGTTTAGATATAACGGCTAGAAATTAGAAAAGTGCGATTGCTCTCTTTCTCTAGTACTTTAGCAAATGTACTTGCCAAATTGTGTTTTGTATTCTAAACTTAGAAGACTAAATAAAAGCATACGGAGCTACGAAGTGCTTATTCAAAAGGCAATGAAATCGGCAATGGCGGAATTAATATATCTTGTTGTCTTCTTTAAGGTACGATGGCTGTGATTCTTAAAGAACCCAAAAGTTCCTAAATAATTTAATCGATCCCATCAAGACCAAATGGATGAAGGGCGAAGATGAATGATTTGGTGAACACAGACAATTCTTCAACAAGCTAATAAGTTCAGAGAGATGCCAACAGTGTATCAAAGCACGCATTTCATTTTTTTTACTTATTGACTGAAAAATAATTAAAAGTACAAATACATATATATATTTCAGAAATAGTAATAACTTGAAATCAAAATCCCAACGTACATAAGGTGAAAACTGAGCTGGGATAATTATCGTCTAACGTATCCAAATAAGCTTCATATTTTACTATTAATTAATTTCTCATAGTTTACTAAGATTTAACAAAGCAGCGTGTCCAAAATTGCTCAACCCTGCGTCCTCAGCTCCTTGTAGAACATATTTATGAACACCTCCGCCGCCTCATCAACCTGATGCTTCCCGTCATCGTCGCCGTCCGTCACCGGGAACGGAGAGTCCGTGATCCTCACCTTTCTCACCGCCCGGGTCCGCCCAGACCAATGAAGTGCTGGCGACGCCTCCACCACCACATCCTTCCCTTTTTTGTCACCGACCATCTCCAACGCCACCTTAAGAGCATCATTAACCGCCGCCGTGTCGTCATCCAGCGTGAGTGGCGCGTGAGCACACGCGAAGAACTGACATGGATCACGTTTGGAGAAGAAGCTGTAGTTGGGAGTGTTGCTGCAGCTGAACTCGTACTCATCACCGCGGGGGGTGGAGAGCTGCAACTGGGCGTCGTGGGAGGCGGCGGCGGCGCCATGGTGGTGGTGGTGGTGGTGAGAGATGAGATTGGCGATGGCTTTTCCGGCGAGCTTGCGGGGACGTTTGAGGATGAGGTTGAGGTTCATCAAGAGTTTTGGTTTGGTGAAGCCTTTTCGGAGCATGAAGAAGAGGACATGTATTATGCTGCCCACTTTCTTTGATATCACTGGCAGATTGTTTTCCATTTCTCTGTATTATTGAAGAGAGAGAGAGAGTGTTTGGAAGTGAGAGATAGAGGAAGAGATGAATTATTGAAGAGGAGAGGGGGAAGGGTGGGGGTATATATAATGCGGAAAAGGAAGGTTAGGAGCTGAGGTTGGAGGAGGCCTTGTGGTATACTCAATCATCTACCCACTTTCCTAAAGTAACCTGTGGCTGCATATATCTTCCGTGTTACCCTGGCGCTTGATTTGTAAGGGAGGAAAATTTTCATGATTTTGATTTAAAAATTTGAAGGAAAAAAAAAAAAGCTTTTAATTAAGTTTTGTTACTTTTTTAATTAAAATTTTATAATTCTATTTTTTAATTTTTAAATCAAACTCATTAAATTTTCGCCTCCATTTTCTTCATGCCAAGTGCAGTTTTTTTTTAAAAAACATTTCCCTACTTAAATTTTGTTTGTTTTTTCGTCGAAACAATTTTAGTTCAGGTTTCATATATATCAAATGATTATCAACAAAAAAAAAAAACTACATGGAAGGTTGGGAACAAAACTGAACCCGTATAAATGACACTATTTCCATTCTTAGTTGTCTTTTTTTTTCCTTCTGTTTTTTTTAATTTTATTTTTTTATGTATATTAAACCAAACATAATTTTAAAAAAAGTCTCATTCTTTTTTGACTCGTAAATAATACAACTTAACTTGTCAAAATGTCAATTTAGTTTATTAACATGAATTGTTAAATTTGACTTATAAATATGCAAGTTTAACATGTAAATGTGATTTTTTTTGGAACCTCTTTCTATTTAAATATCGTACTTGAGATTTGTGAGTGTGTATATATATATATATTTCTAAAAAAGATAGTTCATGAAACACCAAGAGGGATTGTGTTTATTAAAAAGTTAGTTCCTCCAAATACAAGAAAGCAAGATTCCTACTTTTATTAGGACAAGTGCCAATATTCAGTGTTCGATAATGTCTTGACAATATTGCTTTTAATAAGAGGATACTTATACTTAGTAGGAAAAAAAAATAGTCCATGAAATACTTTTCCTTTTCAGTGATAAAATGGAGGGAGAAAGAAATCTGTCGCCGTTTGAATGAGAGAGGAAAAATGGAAGGAAGGAAGGCGAATGGTTTTTTTTTGTTACAAAGGTGAATACTTCAATTGTTGCAGAAGTTTCTTCGCTCATGCAGAATGGGCCTGTTCAATTGTCTATTATTGGGCCGTTCCAAGCATTCAAAGTGTTTGGGTTGGGCTTTTGGTTCAATAAGCCCATTGCCATATATGTTAATATCTTCTGCTAAAATAGTTAAACACGTGTCATCATCTCAATTTGTATCAACTTTTAATTTAATCACATCTTAATTTTAATCTGCAATTAAATGTTAATAATGCATGCTTATTACAGAGCCACGATATAAATTTTATGAAGTCATCACTTTTTATTAATAAGACTAAAGACTACTGGCCAAAACTAAATTTTTTGCCGAACTTAAAAAACTAAATTTAAGGCTATGTTTAGATTAGCATTTAAAATTACATATAAATATATTTTATATAAGGTGAGATAAAATTTTTTTCATATATTTATCTCATATTGTTCATAAATTATAATTAAAAATTTTCTTATCATGATTAAAAATCTGTTTATAAACAATTTCAAATTAGCATTAGCTAATTGATTTTTTATAATTTACGTCTGTTCGTGGTGGGGCGGGGTCTAGAACGAAAGGAAAGCATCTCGTTGGCGGATTAACGATCACACCACTGATTTATCTCCACTTGTGCGTTGTAGCCCCGTTAGGTTCGTAGTGCATCAGGAGATCACATCCCCGAGCCCTTTTTCGTAATTTCAGTTCCTCTTTCGTATTTTCATATTTCTCTCCAAATATCAATTTCTCTTTGGACCCTAATCTGGCCGCCTAATTTCCCCCAATCGACGGATCCAAAGGTGACAGCAATATCTTCTGAATTTACCGAAAATTCGTAAATTCCAATTATTTTTTACAGGAAAAAAATATCGAACTTTGTGTTCTATGTCTCACAAAGTACACAAGCATTCCGCCACTCGCTCTCTCCCGTCGATTGCTCCTCTGCTACAGTGTTCGATTTCTTTCCAAACCCTAACTCGAGTTCCACGATCAACTGCTTAAAGATTCGCGGTGTTCTAGATATTCGGGAAGATAGGATCGCAATTTGGATTGCTGATTTTGTTAGTTGCTTTGATATTGATTTCCCTCCTTTTCTGTTGCGATTTTCGGCCAAATTCGTGAAGGTCTGATATGAACTTTTGTCTGAAGTCGTTCCTTTGATTTATGTCGGTTTTGCGCTTTTTGGGTTCGGTGGGTTGTGATCGGAAGAGAACTGTGTCTGTACGGCGAGAAATTTCTAATTTTTGACATTCATCCGGGTATTCCTGAGAGGAGGATGAGATTTGAAGGATGAACGATGCCGGTACTGCGTAGTGGAGTGCGCAGGGGCCGGGCAGCAGCAAAGAAACAGCAACAGCAGCAACCTAATCCGTTGATCGAGGAGGGGGAGGCAATTGCAACAAGAACAAGGGGACGGCGGGCGGCGGCGGCGGCGGCAGCTGAGCCTAAGGCTAACAAACAACATAAGCAGGTGGTGGTCGATGAGAAGGTAGCTGTCCCGGTGAAGGAGGACGAGATCAAGGGTTTGAACGAAGCTGTTCGTGCTGGTGAAGCTGCTGCTGGTGGAGCGGAGAGAGAAGAGGTTGGGGAGAAGCAGATGGATGACTACGATAGTGGAGCCCGGAGCAATGATAAGGGCAATGCCGGTGAAGATGAGGGGAGCACCGCTCCCCTTCCTGAGAAGGTTTGGCTTTTCCCGCCGTTCTGATTATTAATAAATTCGTACGCATATTAACTTTCTTTGAACTTTGTTGGTATTCTTGTTGCATACATGTGATAGGTGTTGAGAGTAACGTAAGTCTCTTGACGAGATGGCCAACATCGTCTATTCCTTCGTAGGATACTGTAATGTTGAGCTTAAGCCATTTGATATATAGAATGGAAGAGAAGATTAAATGAAAAAAAATGATTTTGAGAGTGAAAAATGAATTCTTTAAAGTAGCATGAAAGAAATAGATGTTATTAGGAGATGGCTGTAAACAGGCCTTACCTTTGGGTTTAGCCGCCTGCATGCAGTTGATTATTCAAACCGGGAGGATATCTTGGTTGTTTGGGATGGTCAGTAAAATAATTAGAGATTGGTCATTTTGGAAAGTACTTATTTTTGGTTTGCCCTTTAGCATGTTAGATTTACTTTCCATTTAATAACTTATGTATGACATATTGACATTCTTCTAACATACCTAAATAGCTTTGGTGATGCAGCATGTGTAGGTTTTGTAAATTTTTTAATTGCTAAACTAATGTTCTTCTCTGGGTACAGGTTCAGGTTGGTGGCTCCCCTATGTATAAAATTGAGCGAAAACTGGGTAAGGGTGGATTTGGACAAGTGTATGTTGGTCGACGAATTTCTGGTGTAAATATGAATGAGAGGACCGGACCTGGAGCTGTAGAGGTATAGGCTCTTTTACAGTATTGGGTGATAAGTTATATCTCCTGTTTCTTAAATTCCTTAATTTAATCATTGGATTTGGAAGTTCTCAGTTCGTTATTTTTTCTCTCAGGTTGCCCTAAAATTTGAGCATAGAAGTAGTAAAGGATGTAACTATGGACCGCCATATGAGTGGCAAGTGTACAAGTGGGTATTGTTATTACTCCTTTTGGCTTTTCCCTTTATGTTTCACTTCTTTATTATGTTTATGGTGGTCTGGGTGTGTGGGGTTTTTAAAGCATGTCTTGGGTGTGTGTTTTTTGATCCCATGTCTAATTTTCTATTTGCACAGTACTCTTGGTGGAAGTCATGGTGTGCCACGAGTACACCACAAGGGAAGGCAAGGTGACTATTATGTCATGGTATGCTGCTTAGACATATTCTTTGTTGATTGGTTGTAAATATTTTAAAATATTCCAATGTTCCTTGTATCTGATTTTGCCATGTGAGCACTGGGTTTCTAACTCAAGACCTTAATGCTTTCAGGTTATGGATATGTTGGGACCTAGCTTATGGGATGTTTGGAATAATAACTCTCACACGTGAGTTTTCTAAAACTCGGTCATCAATCAATTATTTATTGAGACGTGTGCCTTTTGACGGTTACTTACTCAGCTTACATTCTTTTGTCAAATCCAGAATGTCCACTGAAATGGTTGCTTGTATTGCCATTGAAGCAATATCTATATTGGAAAAGATGCACTCTCGAGGGTAATTCCCTGACTTTTCTCTGCAAACAGTCTTCTTTTTGTAACTTTTTCTTTTCCTAAATAAATTGAGAAGGGGAGGGGGTTGGGTCTTCTTGATAGTGTGTTTACTTGTCGAGCCAATTCTATTATCTGATAATGAGTTGGAACTGTGATAGTTTCTTGCATGGGGATGGGTGAAATTTTTCCTTTTCCCTTCTGAAACTTTTTTCTGTAAGCTGGTTGAGGTATTCAATTTAGAGTTTTCTCCGTTATTGTGAGAACGAGTTTTGTTTATTAGTTTTGCCGAGATTTGAATTAGCTACATGGATCTTCCTTTATGGTATGATAGAAAGGAATGTTGGTTTATAGTTTGGAGGAAGATCTGTCTAATTTTTGATGCAGTGAGGTTATATATCTTTCAAACCATAGAACCAGGATTAAGTAGGCCTATGGATTTTTGGAAGTAAACATGAGGGGGTTATGTAGTCCGCTCATAGTTTTACAACTGCATGTTGCTTTAAAATTACTTTGTTCTTTTCTTTTATCGTATCATATTGGGAATAACTCTTCTTATAGAGCCATCCTCTTATATTTTCTGCTTAGTAGAGGAAAATATCATTCTGAAACTTGATGACTATACCTTGTGACAGGTATGTGCATGGGGATGTGAAGCCTGAAAATTTTCTGCTTGGTCCACCTGGGACCCCTGACGAAAAAAAGCTGTTTCTTGTTGATCTTGGGTTAGGTGCGATTATTATCTAAGTAGCTATCTTTTATGTTTATTTTTATGGGAGCATTTAATTACACCTTTTTCATAACTTTGCTGATTTTGAGCCAACAGCTACTAGATGGAGGGATAGCACAACGGGTATGCATGTGGAATATGACCAACGCCCAGATGTTTTCAGGTATTTAATTTGGTTCAGACAATCTTTTTTATGCAGTTTACTTCGCTCAATTCTTTGTAAACTTATGGCTTCTTGTATTATAATATTCTGTTTTTATTAGGGGTACTGTTCGATATGCAAGCGTGCATGCACACTTGGGAAGAACTGGCAGCAGAAGGGATGATCTAGAATCACTTGCTTACACACTGATTTTCCTTCTTCGAGGTCGTCTCCCTTGGCAGGGGTATCAGGTTGGACATGTCTGAGAAATATCCTTTTGCTATCAATATATGTTCAGAATATCAGTTGTTAACATGTTTTTCTCAGGGAGAAAACAAAGGGTTCCTTGTTTGCAAAAAGAAGATGGGAACTTCTCCGGAGAGCCTATGTTGCTTCTGCCCCCAGCCTTTTAGACAGTTTGTTGAACATGTGGTGAACTTGAAGTTCGATGAAGATCCTAACTATGCAAAATATATTTCTCTGTTTGATGGCATTGTTGGTCCAAATCCGGATATTAGGCCAATTAATACGGAAGGTGCACAAAAGGTATTGATCTTGCCATGACCTTCCTCGTGTCATATGCATTTGAAGTTTGCAGTCCTTTGTGAATGTAATATTCTTTTCAATTCTGCTGTAGCTAATTGGTCATAAGAGAGGTCGGTTGGCCATGGAAGAAGAGGATGATGAACAACCTAAAAAGAAGATCCGCATGGGTATGCCAGCAACACAATGGATAAGTGTTTACAATGCTCGCAGACCAATGAAACAAAGGTAATATAAGCTGTCGAGCCATTAAATATTCTGGGTTAAGAATGCACTTGTGCCTTGAAAGTTCATGCAATGATCTGATCATCAAACAAAGAATATAAAGCTTATACAAATGCAGTGAGACACTGAGCTTTCCCCCCTGTAATGTTGACGGTGTACAGGGATATTAGCATCTGTGGGAATTTGCTTGCTCTCCTGTGTTTTTTCATTCTATGTTCATCAACTTCCCCATCAGATTTGATCTAGAAATAGATGCTTAGAATTTCCCGTTCCTATACTGTGTCTGATATTGGGGAACTCTTTTCCATGTAACATTTCTTTTTCCTTTGTAGATATCATTACAATGTGGCAGATGCAAGGCTGTCCCAGCACATTGAGAAAGGAAATGAGGATGGGTTATATATTAGCAGCGTGGCTTCATGTCAGAACCTGTGGGCCCTAATCATGGATGCGGGAACTGGCTTTTCTGCCCAAGTCTATGAACTCTCGCCCTTTTTTCTCCACAAGGTAATCTCAGTCTGCTTATGATTTATCACTAGGTTTTTGTGCCTCTAGAAACGTTACTTTCTTTATCTCTTTCTTGTTTATTGGAAAGTAATTTTGTTTTCATGTATTTGAAGGAATGGATAATGGATCAGTGGGAAAAAAATTACTATATAAGTGCCATAGCTGGAGCTACAAATGGGAGTTCGTTAGTTGTGATGTCTAAGGGTTAGTTGTTCTGGCATACTTTTTTGTGTGCTTTGACCAATTTTGACTTGGTCCCTAACTTCGTTTGTGGAATGCAGGCACACAGTTTGTACAGCAGTCCTACAAAGTGAGTGATTCATTTCCATTCAAGTGGATAAACAAAAAATGGAGGGAGGGCTTTTATGTCACGGCAATGGCCACTGCTGGCAGCAGATGGGCAGTAGTCATGTCTCGTGGTGCAGGCTTTTCTGATCAGGTTATCTTTTGGACAAGAGTTTCATCTATTGGGTCCCCCCCCCCCCAAACCAAAATATGCATCTTGGTAGCATAAATAATCAACTCTTCAAGTATTTATGTCCTTTCAGGTGGTTGAATTAGATTTTCTTTATCCCAGTGAAGGGATTCACAAACGCTGGGATTATGGATACCGTATCACAGCAACCGCAGCAACTTGGGATCAAGCAGCATTTGTCCTGAGTGTGCCTAGGAGGAAACCTGCGGATGAAACACAGGAAACACTTAGAACTTCGTCTTTTCCTAGTGTACATGTCAAGGTAGTTCAATATTCTTATGATGTTTTTGCTTTGGTTCTGATTATGAAGGTATTTAGGGTCTCTGGTTTGAGCTTCTTATGATGGCTTTTTGCAGGAGAAGTGGGCAAAGAACCTCTATATTGCATCTATTTGCTATGGAAGAACAGTGTCTTGACCTGCATCCTTGGGTTTTATTATTTGCTGACTCTGGCTGCCCTCCTGAGAAGCCCCATTCATTGTATGTCAAATGGCATGGTCCAGAGCCCAAGAAGTTTTGATGACTAGCTCTAATTATCTGTATGTAGAAATCTGACGGGAAAATCTGTGTTGCCAATTGCTTGGAGATTCTGGTCCTGTACCATTGATCACTTTGACGCTTGGCAGACAAGGATTTATTACCTTTGATGAAAATCCTAGCCCGATCTTAGAGATGTTATCATAATCAATTTGACCCACCGCTGGGTATCAATTAGACGCCTGTAAGGTTACTTTTGACTTTCACCATTTGTGAGTGTTAAAATTGTGGCCAGGCAAGCTTTTCAAAAAAAAAAAAAAACTAGAGAGAGAAAAAAACGGGGGTAGTTGGTGAGGGGTGTGGTTGATGGCTCCACCATTTTTTGGAGTTAAACCAGTGCAAAAAGGTACAAAATTGAATTTCTTCCTGAAATTGGTGTTGTATTTTTGCATTGCCACAGGAAGGAATAATGATAATATTCGAAATTTAAAAAACAATACTCAACGCTAAGGCGCGTAGTCAAGGATGAAGATCAATCCAATGGAGGAGGGAAATGGATGATTCCAGAAAGGCACTATATTGAAGAGTGAGGGGAGGAATAAATTTTTTTTTTTTTAATTTTTTGAGTAGAGCTTATTAAATTTTCTTTTTCCTTCCCTCCCTTACATTTTCCTAGACCAAACAGTACCTAAAGAACAAAATTTGTACGATTCGTAAAAGATGCCAAAAGTTGCCGGTTCAGGAATTTTTGTTTTGCCGGTGTGATGCTCCTGTTTTTGCAGCATGCTTGGTTTTCCTAGATCTTCACAGGGTTTCAGCCCTTACCAGGTAATTTTGGGTTTATCTTCGGCCTACCAAGCAAAAGTGATCCATATGAATCATTTGTAATCGCATATTCGCATTCTCTCCTTTTCTTAAAAAAAAAAAAAAATCTCATCTCCATCTTTAGATTGAGAAATAGACAAATGGTTTAGATTTAATATTTTATAAAATATTAAATTTGATCATTTGCACCATGGAATCAAAATGAATAGTTTTTGAGCTACTGACTTGATTCATCATTTGTCATCTTGACAAGTCAAACAGTCAGTTCAACTAAATTATTTCCTCGATTTCTTTTTTTCGGGTTGGAGGGATGGGGAATTTATTTATCTTAAGTTGCATAAAACCACCTACTTACAAGAAGTTAACTTCACTGTAACACATTATTGATCCATATGGATGAGTGGGTGTACATACAAACATTTTATTCCCATAGAATAATGTATATTTAATCTCATGATAATATATAGTTACCATATCAACACGATGTTTTGCCAAAAAAGAAAAAAGAGGATCTAGTGGCCGTGGACTAAATCAATAATTTTGAAACTATTATTACAATTTTTAGAGCGCAAAAGTCAAGTTAAAATCATAAGTTGACTAAAACCACAACAAATAGAATAATAGTTTAACCAGATTACTGACAATACACTTTCTTTTGCAAAACTCTGAATAAATAAGACATTCGCTAAGAAAAACTAACAATTAAGGACAGTGAGATCATTAATTCCAATTACTGCTCCAGTCATGGAGACATCCCCATTTCCAAGTAGTCACCTGATTTTCACAGGTGAATTATCCAAATTTGACAGCTGATTCTATATGATTTCAACAGCTCATAAGGGAAAAAAGTCCAAATCAATTCCACATGAAATTCTGAAATTGTATATAATCAGTTGTGAATTCTAGATAAACCACTTGGGAAAACCAGATAAGACATTACAAAATGAGATGTCTTTTGATAGCCCTTCAATGAAATTTCAATCATTACATATCTGTAATTGGAATTAATAGTTTAACAAGGCTTTTAATTGCCCTTTTCCCTTTTCTCAGAAAGCAGCTAGCTCCCAATTCTTTTCTTAGCATCGGCCCTCTTAGGCTTCATAAGACTGATCAATTGGCTCATCATCATCCCCACAAGTCTGCAATGGGATTAATGGAGAGTACAGGCTGCTCTTGAGTAGGTCTACGACAAAGCCTGTTCCACTGAACCACCTCCTGCCACAGGCATGTGACTCAAGACTTAAGGCAGAGGCAAAAAACATTCCAAGAGAACCAACATAAAAATTAAAAAGAAAAATGAATCTTTTGGTCTTTGTATTTTTTACTCAATTGTAACTCATTTCCTGAGTTTAACTCGATGCAACTCAGTCCTATAACTTTCACTGAGTTGTAATTGGGTCCCTAAACTTCAATTCACTGCAAATCAGCCCTATAGTTTTAACAATTTAAAATTTTAGTCCATAAACTCCATGAAATATACAATTTTATTTTTCAAAACATAGGGACTAATTTTTCAGATGGTTAAACTATAGGGACGAAGTTGAATTCAGCCAAAGTTCAAAGACTGAGACACAGCCAAATCAAAACTATAAGGACTCAGTTGTGCTGAGTTATAGTCTAGGAATAGAGTTATAATCGAGTTAGAACTATAAAGATCGAAAGATTAATTTCCCCAAATGGGGGAGGGGGTGGGGGGGAATCAAACCAGTAGTGAAAGACAGGGAAACTAGTTAGTTTGGTTGGGAAGTTTGTCTAAAATGTTTGATAGCATGAATGAACATTGATGTCATGTCAATTTGAGGACAGGAAACATATTCATCAAATATCACCTCAGTGTCATCATGGCTGTATCGGACGAGGAAGATGCACCTACAATCTGTCTCATCATGAAGCCTTCTTTGGACTTTAACAACACAAGCATCACAATATACGGCATAATCTTCTCTTTCCTGTTGATGACCAGAAAGTCTTTAGAGAATCCTAATATAAAAAAAGAAAAAAAAAACAAAAAACAAAAATCCGTCTTGGTTATGATAGGACTCTACTGAAGATACCACTAAAATAAGAGACACTATCTACTGCTGCCACAATTATTAAGGTAAATTCCTATCAGAAAGAAAAAGGAAAGACACTGGAAAATGTTACCTGGAAGCATAGCATAAGATCTCCTTCCTTCACCTTGTCACACTCAGTGGGTACTAATGGGATAGATCTCTCGCGCACTGACTCTTTCACATTCACCCACTCATCCTGATTCTTACTGAATCCAGCATATCGTACACGTACTTCCTTAAATTGCATCACAAGATCCAAGGACTTCAATCAGCTTCCCATTGACAATTTTATGTTTTGAAATATTTGGTTATGATTCCTTTCTTCCGCTAATAAAACTGATGGGAGAATCATATTAGATTTTTGAAGGATCAAACATGTGGGTATATGAGGTTCCCCGATGCTTCACATCATTTTTAGTAGATTTAAGCAGATGGAGGACAACTAGAATTGCAGAGAGAAAAGAAAGAAGGGAAAGAGTATAGCCTCTTACATGAGTTATCTGAGGTTTTTAAGCTAAAAAGTTAGTTGCAATAGTGAAGCAAGTTTAATGATTAAAAAAATCAACCTCAAGGCAACTTTTAACACTTATCTTTGAGTCGCTAGTTTGGAGTGGATACACATTGCCTAAACATTCAGTTAAAATGATTAAATCTTTCGCAAGATGGTATTCACAGCTTTTGTCAAGATCACCCAGAAACACTGTATCATTTATCTAAGTATTCTATATTCACTGCTATTCTTAAAAAGCTGGTGGGTTATGTTGATTTTGATATTGGTTCTTATAGAATATCTGTGTGGCAGAATATGTTTGTACAAACTAGACAAAAGCATGGGTTGGTGTATAAACCAAAGGTGGCTATGTTCTGCGCTCTGATCGATGCTATTTGGCAGGCAAGGAATACTTTAGTGTTTTGACAAGAACTCCCGGGTAATGTTCAAATTTGTCATAGAATTGTAAATGACATGACAATTAAACGGAAACTATCGTAGCCCTGGTGATAAGAAACAGAAAAATAATACAAGGACAGAAGAAGAAATAAATGAGGGAAATCCTTCGGTTTTGATCCAATGCTTCAAAATACCGAATCAGTTTGACAAAACCCCATTCCCCTGTTACATCCAGATATCTCTAACAACAGAAACTAGTGCTCAAATCACAGAACAACTCACAAGAACATAACATAAGCCACTGGCATTAGAGAGGCCGATCTCTGATCTCCACAGTCCACACTCACAATGCAAAATATGACCTGTTTCTGTTTAGGAGACCCCAACCACTACTACAATAAATCAAAAAGCAACATCCACAGTCCCCAAGACTACCCTCTCCTAGATCAGGCCTTTAGCAACTCTAATTCTTTGTTTCTTTCTCCTCAACATTAGGAGTCTCAAGGTCAATGCTCTGATCATCGTAAAGTTGATTTCCCTTTTCTTGCATCTTCGCAAGTTTCTTTTTACAGGTCTTTGTACCAAAAGTGGTTCTATCACGAACACTCGTTGGTAGGGAGAAATAGATATAGAAGGATCTTAGGTGGAGTATTTAACATCTTCTAGTTTGATCTGTTATATCTTGCAAATCATCTTTTTGTATAGATAGAGGTATGCCCGTTTGATGTAATTTTTTATGAGAGGAATATAATTATTTCACCTATCTTCAACACCATCTTTGAGCAATTTCGAACTATAGCAACTTCCAGCGTTTAGTATTTAGCAAAATACTATGGTATCATCTCCTTAGACTTTTAGAATGTGGCATTTAGTTTCTTGCCTCATTAATGAGCTTGGTTGATGTACAGAATGGAAAGGAATGAAATGAAAAATGGAATAAAAAAACGATTTTAGAAATAACAAAAAAATGCCTATCATGACAATTTAATTATGTTTAAGGAAAGATAGACAATTGAGTTCAGGCTCCAGTGGAACTCAATTATGACTCAACATGATACATGTAAATGGAAATCCACAAGCAAGTAGATTATAATATGGGAAAATCTTACAAGTTCACCAGTGCTGCTGACAACTCTGTAGGAAATAAATGACTCAACGTCATACCTGTAAACGGAAATTCAAAGAAACATGAGATAAAGTTGCTTGCAGACTCTGGTACATTTGGATTAGGGGAAGGGAAAGCAATGGAAGGATTCCTTGAAACAGTTCCCACACATGGGAGTTATGAATACAATGGAAATGATAATGAAGGATTTTCTACTAAGGGATGAGTGCATGAACAGGATATGAACATAGACAGATTCCGTTCTCTTGAGAAGTAAAAACTGGTTTTCTTGAATCTTATTACAGTTGGAAATGCCACAAAGAAAGGTAAGATTTTCACATATAAGTCTCATTTAAGCCAAAATGAAATCAGAACAGCTCAAATATAGATATGCAGCAATGCAAGGCTTTTCGACATCTAAAATACTCGACCAGGAGAAAATCTCTCACCATGCTGCATCCTTTGATGATCTAGCTTCAAATGCTAACTCTGAAATATCAGGAACTTTTTCATCTGATATTAAAATTAGAAAATAATTATTAGATGAGAATTTACATTGCTTGTCATTTCACTTGCCTCACTATGTCAGACACTAGTTCAGTTTATTTAAAATTTACAGAAATCATAAGATCACAATTTGACAGTAAGGCGCCTAATAATTACAGTTGTCCAGGTAACATATTTGCTCTTTCTGTTAAGTGGTATTCCCCCAATCCTAATTGTGAGAGCTAGTAAACTAATTTATTCACATCAAAGAAATTAAGTTAGTCATTTGTATATTAAAAAAGAAAAAGTGTGCAAGTTTTCCCAAAATACTCCTCATTTTAATCATTTACATTAGAGTATTATCAACATAGCATATATACCATACAAGAAGCTAACTATAGCAGCAGTTAGGGGAAAAAATAATAAAGATGAGAGACAAAAGAGACTAAGGACTTACATTTAGGACCAAAACCAACTCCCCAACTTGCCCCTGCATTTAGAATGGAAGTGATTACATTAGAAAGCAAAAATCAATTCAATATGATATAAATGGAAATTAAAATGCTCCTATTAGTATGAAAGGGAAATGAAGATACATCATAATACAAATGGGTTGTCAACATTACTTAGACGAAGAGGCTGCAATCAGAAATTTTGCACCTGCATGCCTTGTGAGAAAGGCAAGCTCATAATTCTAAAATTCTGAGTCCTCAATACCAGAAAATAAATGTGAGTTGGAGTTTGTGGGTACGATTTGAAATTTCAAAACCCTTGTTAATTATTCCATTATTCCTAAAGGAAACACCACCATGAGAGGGCACAATGGGACTTCACATTTACAGATTTAAGGGTCACCCATATTTGCATTGAAGAGAATTTAAAGAAAAGACTTCATTAAGGCATTCCCCTTGAGTTACATTTAAATCGAACTTTTCCTTTCCCCCATCCTCATAAATCCAAACATGATCTAAGTAAGAGATAGGTGGATTTAATTGATACTCACATATTCTAATGATAAAGTTCCTATGTGATTTCAGAGCCACAATAAAGAGAAACAAGATGGATGGATGAAACCAAGCTTCAATGGAGCTTCTAAGGGGCAACTTGGTGTAGCAAGGTGCAATGGAGTACTTAGAGATGATAATGGCCCCATCACTGGGAGGTTTCTATAAAAATGTGGGTTTCTGCACAGTAATAGAAGCTGAACTATGGGTACCTGTGGGATCAAGTGGATAAAGAAGATGAGACAGGGACATAGTCATATAGAGTAACTCCACAACAGTCATATTCATGTTAGCAGCACAACCATATGGTGAGATACAGCACAGATTACTAAACCATGTCCACAGAGATATTGGTACAGACTGGCAAATTGAAAATTTTCACACATATAGCATCAGGAATGCCTGTGCAGAGTAGTTCGCTAACTAAAGAAAGGGTTTAGTGTTTAGGGTCTTTGCTTCTTGTGCAAGCCTCTTCAAGGCTCAAGCGATTTACCTTTTAGGGACACTATAAGGGTTACCATCACTCATTTAATTTCAGTGTAATTTCTAGGGCCCCATTGACTTATCTGAACAAAGCAAAAACAATTTCCATCTACATGTTTCTTTTCCTTTTCCGTGTTGGAGCCATTTAATATGCTAGAAAGATTGGAAAAAAATAACCTTTTGGGTTTGGACAAGTTCCAAGTTCATCAGTAATAGTAGATGCATCAGAAGAGCCAACAATTTTCGGCGAGTTGGCTACTGAAGGGACTTCAGCTTCTGACTGTTTCTGTTTGTTACGGAACCAATCTTGCACCTGAAACTCGGGAAAAACAGAGAGGGAATTAAAAAAAAAAAAATGAATAGAACCCAGAAGGTCAGAAAAAGGAAGAAACAATGACAACCTGTTCCCAAGAGATAGGATCTTTTCCAGCACGGATTGATGAGGAACTGCAAAAAATGCAAACCAAATTATAAAACAGGATGGTGAGCACTAAACAACATCATCATCTTTGTGGAAAGTTAAGTTGAACTTAAGAAATGACTTAGTTCACCTAAAACTTTTTGCAAGCCCTTGGCAAAATTCCAGAGACACAGATTTTTCTCCCATGTCCTTGTAGATATTTTCCAATTGCACCATCTATGAATTGGAAGGCACTATGGATCAACCAATATATACAAAATGCAATGAAGTACAAGCCTTTCTGATACACATGAGAAATTCAAGGGATAAAAGCTTTTAATTAACAGAATAGACAAACCATCTCATTCTCATTGTAGCTAACGAGTCAGAATAACAAGAAAGAAATTGCAGGGCAAAACCCAGAATGTACAGTGAATGTAAAAGAGAGAAAATGACCGTATATAGAACATGTATTTTCATGATAATATGGGTCTTCTGAATAACCCTTATTTACTGATTCACCCTCTGTGAACAGAAATTACCTCAGCTAAGAAAAATTCAGTGTGGGAAGAATGTTTCGAGCCAAGGTCCTCCATCGTCGCTGCAAAGAGACCACAATATATTTTTTTGGTTGAAGCGAAGATCTTTGGAGGAGGAAGGAGAGAGAAAGTGACCAATTATGGTTGCTAGATCACCTGATTCTGGACGGAGACCTTGATGACGAAGGAATGACTGAACTGAATGTTGGGCTTTCAAAGTACTTCCCGAGGGAATCCGACAAGACCAAAAAGTACTTCTGAGAAGAAGTGAGTTTAATTTTTTTTACCCAAAAGAGTCTTTTTTTTTTTCTTCTTCTTCTTCTTAGGCGAACGAGATTTACTTTCATCTTTTACTGTTAACGTCATCGTAAATTTTGAGTAAGGTTGACTGAATCTTTATTTTTCTATTTTATTGGCATTCGGAGATTCATTTTCTATATCAGGTCATTATTTTTCACTGCACAAACATAAAAATAAAAAAAAAAACGTACTTTCTTAATACCAATAACGGAAATAAATACTAGTACGATGCGAGGGAGTAAAAAGAATGGGAAGAAAACTTATATGGAGACTACTAAAGTCATAATGAATGAATTGAGGAAATAAAAAATTAAAAAGAATCCTCATAAATTTATAACTAAAGCTGTGACTATATTTTTTACCAGGAGAAAAATCATAGCAACTACTCGCAAAATATTCTAAAAATAAATTTGTGAGAAACCATAGAAAATATAGATACATTATTATTTATAAGACGATCCTCCTTCAAATAATTGAATTTTAATCAAATATTTATTTACCTAATTCAATTATAGTAAAAAAAGTCATTGAATTAGTTAATTATAATAAATACAACATAAAAAACTTTTATTTAAAATTGAGAAAGAAGTTGCATTGAAGAATTTTAAAGCTGCAAAGTGTGCCCCTATATTACACTTTACACTTAATATTTAAAAAAATTAAGTTTTACCGTACCAATAGTTTAACTTATTATTATTCTGACAAATTAACTTCATATCAATTATATATATATATATATATATTTTTTCCATATGGAAACTGATGATTATGAATATAAATTTGTTGAATATCATTTTCTCTGAGTCATCGTGATGGCTTTCACAGGTTTCATGCGATCCCGTTGGTGAGGCCTAATTGAGCTTCCTTCTTGGGCCATAAGAGTTGTATTGAACTTGGACCTCAAATTCGATACACAATTTGTCTTCCACCTAAGAAGATTGAGTTTAGCAACCAATTGGGTTGAATCCAACAAATTTCTTATTATACGACGAATCAAAATTTAATTTTTTTTTTAAAGATATACTTATATTTAGTATTTGATAGTTTCTTAAATAATATTATTTCTAATATGAAGATAAATATGCGAAGTCAAAAAAAAAAAGAAATTAGCAGAAAAAACTAGTCTCTATAACGTAACAAATTAGAGTTTAAATTATTATGGAAAAAGATGCACATATTTAGTGTGTGATAATTCTTTAAACGAGACTGCCTTTAATAGAAAAATACTTATGTGTCGGAAAAATTTTTTGTCTTCCTTTAAAATTTCATAATTACTTTTACTTTGTCATTTGTTGCGAATTAAAATTTCATAATTATTTTTACTTCCTCATTTGTTGTGAAAATTAGACTCTGGCCTATATTTTGTTTTAAATTTGCGATGAGTTATATGATTCATGACTTACAAATTATGTGTTCTTTATATGTGTGTAGATTCAAATTTATTATTTTTTGTTTGCGAAGGAAACGATATGCCAAGTATCTGAATTTGTTGGCCAAAAAAAAACATAGTACTATCTGAATTTTAAAATTTGAGATGACTGCAGGTAACTGACTTTAAAACTTCACTTAAATTGTAATTTTAACAATTTTCATTTCAAGATAATTATCGTTAGATTATTTGTACTTTGATAAAATTTCGCCCAAATTGTAGTTGGCTTTAACACAATATAGAATAAAGAGTGTACTGAAAAAAATAGTCATTTTACTACTGTTATTAGGAAATAGGAAATTGGAAAAAAAAATAAATTGAATGATCTGTGATTAATCTCTTATGAAATAATTTTCGAACAAAAAATTATCCGGAAGTTTGCAATATTTTTCAGTACACTTGCATGCTGCCAGGGATCAATGGATCTCCAAAATCATAATTATGACTCAATTACTTTATTTATTTTTTTCAAATTTCGTGTCATCCTATCATTTCCAAATTCATTCAAGCACATATTTAACCACAAACCATTCAAACACCACGAAAAAGGAGAGTAAAAAAAAAAAAGAAAAAAAGAACTTCTTTCTAAATGAAACCGCAATGAAAAGTGTGTAGGGTGCTTACACAAAATATTACTACGTCTTGTTCTAAATATATAGTTTAAGTTATAGTACAAATTAGATTTTATATTTAGGGTGGGATACAGCATATTAAAATGGTCAATGATGGAAGTTGCATTCACCTAAATAACAAAAAGGCATTTAAAGATAACATATCAGGAAAAAGTGACTCTTATATATTTATATAAAAATAATATGATACTCTTAAATTTTAATAGGCAAAGATCTAATCATCTAATAAATCAATAATTTTTTTGTGAAATATGTCTGCCTTGGAAAATAAAACCCTCTGCATTTCTCTCTACCTTCCACTCCCCTCTGCTTATTTATCCTTATTATTAGATTATCTTTAAACGGTTGAGATTTAATATCTTATAAAAATATTATTATGATATCAAATAACAATAAACAAATTTTAATTATTAAAATATCTAATAATTCACATCTTTACAATTCTACTAAAATATTTTATATTCTTTTTAGTTTTTAACCAATATTATATTTTAACCATTTAAAGATGATCTAATGATAAAAAGTAAAGAATTGGAGGGTGAAAAAAATTGAAGAGACTGTTCCTGTGTCCTCTTTCTTCTGTGTTTCCAAGTAGTTTAAGTAATACTCCTCCATTCCTTATTATAAGAGGCAAATAACCAATTTACGTTGATAAAAAAAACAGTTAAAATTAGTTGAGGACAATAATGTGTAAAAGTATATACTTTTCCAACAATGCCCCCATTAATAAGGAGAGAGAGTATGAGAAAGAACAATTAATTATAAAATAAAGAGAAGTGGAGGAAGAGAGAGTATAAGTTGAGACAAAATAAATAGGGGTAAATATGAAATCAATATAAAAAAATAGAGACAGACTTTTAAGTATCTCTTATATATGAGAACATGCTATAAACATCAAATGTCTCTTATAATAAGCAACAGAGGGAGTAGTAAGCAAGTTTCGAAAATCATATCGATGCACCAAATTCATGAATTCGAGTCAAAAAGCACCGGTTATGTCTTATTGCTTAAAATTCAATGTTTATTAAAAATTTCTAACTATGAGTTACGTCGCTGGCAGAGAAGGGAAAACCTATGAGTTGCGTATTACTCCATCATGTTTTATTATATTATATTTATGATCAAATTTGATTTTCCAGCTAATTTCTTTCTACGTTAATTACCGAAATTTTTTATAAAACAAGTATTGCCTTTGATTTTTAATATAAAAGCTAATTAACTAATTTGAGTAGATTAAAAAATTTTATTAAGTTAGCTATTTGTAATAAATAAATGTTATCTTTCCTAAAATACTCTTACTAATCATATATATTAATTAGAATTACCATTTGATAGAACTTTTAATATGTGTAGCTATTACAAAGACTACTTTAAAAAAAATGATAAATATGCGAGACAAAATAAATTAAGATATTATATTTAAGACTAAATTAAAAATCAAATTATTTTTTATATTAAGTACCAGAGGTAGTATAAAAGAGTCAACAAAGCCACACTCTAAAAGTAAATCCATCAAAGTAACCATCATAGCTTATAAAAAAAAAATATGGGGACGTTGTTTGCCACACCTTAAAGTGTTAGCACATTGTGTCTCATTTCTCAACATATGTGTCAGAGTAAGGTTAAAAAAATACTAACAGAGTTATATATTTACTAATAATTAAAATTATTTGGGTTATGTTTAATATTATCTTTTATCATTGAAATTTAACCTCAAATTGGTTTTGATCCTTAAAATTTTACTTCATTTTAGTTTTAGCCATTGTTTTAAGGACAAAAACATTATTTCAAGGACAATAATAGATCTGTAGATGGACAAAAATAGAGTCAAATTTCAAGAACCAAAATCATTGATTTCAAATTTCATGAACCAAAACAAATAAAATAAAATAAAATTAAAATTTCAAAACCAACAAAACCACTAGTTTTAAATTTCATGAATCAAAATTAGAAAGAAGTCAAATTTTAAGGATTAAAAATTGTATTAACACAAATTGTTTTCTTAAAGAACTCAATCTTTTAAAATTGATATTTTTTAAAATAATTTCGTTTATATTAAAGGATATCATAATACTAACCTCCGGTCCTAATTATAAGACCCAGTTGACTTATTTGAGGAGATTAAGGAAGTAAGTTAAATTATTTATTTGTAAAATAAGTGTTGTTATTCCTAAAATATCCTTGCTAATTAAGTGTATTGGCTAAAACTGTCATTATTAAAAGGACTATCTTGAAAAATGTATAAATATGAGAGACAATGGATTGGGGTCTTATAATTAGACCGAACAAAAGTCAAACGGGTCCTTATATTAAGGCCGAGGTAGTCTATTTGAAATGATCGTACGGGGGGACAATTTTGGGGCCACAGTACTGTGTTTCCATATTTTAACAATTTGAAGGAAGCCTGCAAAACGCAAAACAAAGGGAACCGATGGAATTTAATTACTCAGTTTGAAGATTCATTGTTGAATCCGAGGAAGACTTTCCAGTCTGAAACACCTGTAACCTCCGTAATTGACTTTATATAGCTGACAAATTTATATGCAATGTTCTACTGAAAAAAAAAAAATACATGCAATTTTCCTTTTTATAATTGTAATATACTCTTTACAAATAACTTTGGGAAGAATAGTTTATAAATTAAATTAATTGGCCCTTCTGAATAAATTTTTCTTAATAGATAGTAATAGTGATAAATGAAGAAAGAGAATGTATTAAATACATTAAACTACGAGTAAAAAAGAGACAAACATATTAAAAAAATGAATCTTATAATAGGG